ACTCCCCAATATTATCTCTAAGACTCAATGCACGAGTCATGTTGTGCAGTGTAAACAAGTGCGGCTGCTGATTCCACAGAGATTGTCGCTAGCGGAAATGACTTTCAGCTCGCGCCTGGCTCTGGTCTGGCCTCCCATAATTAACACTGCGGATTAAGCAAACATTTTGGCTTCGCTCTTCACGCTTGTATTATTTGTTTTAATGTAATGAGTATTTACAATTCGAGTGGTCAACAAAAAATTAATGCAAAAAACAAAGAGTGAAAGGGCCGCTGCACGAGCTCCCAAACAAACACAGCACACATGTCACAGAGACCCAAACACAAAGGTATCGCAAGTACGTGGATTGTGGATCGCTGTTTACCAGCCGCTGGAGGCCCAGCCACCCTGAGGTGCCCAGCCACCGGCGCCACCGCCACCACCGCTGCTGCTGATGCCGCCTGCATCGGAGATGACCTTGACGATTTGAACAGTGCCAGAGCTGACACTGTGGCCGCCTCCATAGCCACCGCCATAGCCGCCGCCATAGCCGCCGCCATGACCGCCTCCATAGCCGCCTCCGTAGCCGCCTCCGTAGCCGCCGCCGTAGCCGCCGCCGGCACCGCCGTCGGAGATGACCTTGACAATTTTGACAGTGCTGGCACCGCCGCCATAGCCGCCGCCATAGCCGCCTCCAAAGCCGCCGCCATGACCGCCTCCATAGCCACCGCCGTAGCCGCCGCCATAGCCGCCGCCAGCACCACCATCAGAGATGACCTTGATGATTTTCACGGCACCGCCGCCGCCGCCACCTCCATGGCCGCCGCCGTAGCCACCGCCATAGCCGCCACCATGACCGCCGCCGTAGCCGCCGCCATAGCCGCCGCCATGACCACCGCCGTAGCCGCCGCCGCCACCGGAGCTGAGGGCGCTGCCGCCGCCAAGGAAGCCCGCATGGGCCATGCTGCACACAGCGAGCAGACAAACGAATACCTTGGAAGAGAAACAGCACAATAAATCAATTCCAATTACGACATTTTCACGGCACGGCACAAAACAAAAAATAAAAAACAGTTAAAAAAAAAAATTAAATAAAGTTTAGCTCGAAATTTCGTTAATCCCGACGACGACGATATTTCGAGCTGAACCGATCCGGTGGCAGGAGGACGCACCTTCATGTTGGCTCTGTGTCTTGCTTGGAGCTAGGAGTTGGGATTACAAATGCGACTTCGACGAGAGCTGAACTTCAACTGTGCCGTTGCAGTGCACTCGCGCTGCCTTATATGGCCCCACAAGAGCTGGCCAAGAGCCCAAGAGGGCCCAAAGCCACAAAACCAGCTCGACCCTGCCCCCGGCCAGCCGGCCCGTTAGCCAAGTGTATGCTAATGCATGACACTCTAATTGGTTGTCCACGCGATGCTCTGCTCGGATTATGCCATCATACAGCCATCATACAGCCATCATTCAACCATCAAAGACCACAAAGCCATCTCTCCCGACGCCTTCGCTGGCGTGTTGAGCTCACGGCGCTCACAGCTCTGGGCTCTCTTCATTGGCTCGTTATGCAATTCATCAAAGCGCGCTTGCACAAAGAGCATTAACCAAACACAACAAAGCCAAATGCGAATAAGTAGCGCTTTTTAACACTCTGAGCCCCACACCCCACACTCCAAGCCCCAAACCAAACCCAGCTCCGAATCAAACGAAGCCTTCATAAGATGCCCTAGCTATATGGGCATTGTAATAGTTTAATAACGCTGCTGGAGCAACGTTTGCCATTTTCCTCTTTAGTTATTATAAACTTGGCCCAATGATAAACAGGCAAGAGTGCTCTAGTGGAGAGTGTACGACTGGCAGACACCCTAAGCCCAGCCAAGTGTAATCCGTTCACTCTTCTTGTGTGCACACATAGCAAATCACATATGTATACACATAGACATATAGACAAACACACTTACATGCACACACACACATATATATAAATAATAACTCGCTTTGCTCACTGCCCAGCTTATGGGCTGCTCTTATGGCGCATCTTTCCCATAGTAAAAAATGCTATTACAATTTAATTACCTAATAACTTTTATTCTAGAAAGAAACTTTCTTAATATAATTCATGAAGACATTTAACGTATGTGTGGGCTATGTTTTTTTTGTATTTATTTTTCTTTATGTATCAAATATATGTTTGATGTAGGATGGTATATATGTGTATACATGAGACTGTAGTGAGAGTAGATAATTATCAAGGCCAATCAAAAGCTAAGCAAAACTTATTATCACAAAAGGCTGATTAAAGTTAGAGTTATGAAATGATATATGTAGTAAACTCTTTTAAAGAATCAAAAGGCGCGATGAGAATTACAATGACGGTGACAAAATAGATATGCCTGAAAAGATATAAAGGTTATTTGAGAGAATGAGAAAAGATAACAATGCCGATATTGAGCTCATCGAAATGGGTTATATTTATAGAATATCTAGTGTGATGTCGATGTCAGATATAGTAGGGTACTATAACATAAGCTCTGGGTCGTCACATGTCGCAGTCAGTTCCATGGGATGCAGTTCCTGCCGAGGCTAACCAGCTCCTAACCAAAGATCATGTTTTATATGTTATGTATGATATCTATATACAAGTTGCTTGCGCTTTATTTAATCTTAAAAAATTTGATTTACCAAAATCTTGTCGTAGATTAAAATTATTGATATACATTTAATCTGTACAGCTTTGGGGCTCGTCTCCGCTGTCTCGATTTCGTTGAGTATAAGAAGTGCGCCGAGGGGCTTATTAATTTGTTAAGCCTTCGGATCGACACTTGATAGATAGCAAATATAATTTAGCTGTGTTGTGCTCCAAGTTAATTGCAGCAGCATTGTTTACGGGGCTCGCGGAAGCTCACAAATCCCACGCAGTCACGACATCCAGCTCGCCCGACTGGCTCTCTGTGGGTCCAGCAATTATGTTGAGCTGTAAATGAAATAAATTCAAGCTCACAAATCTCTGCAATTTGTATGTTTTCAAAACTTTTTGCCGTTGGAAATTCGTTAGATTTACGAGTTAGTATTATTAGCTGAGCTTCAATTCAGGGCTGCTGCCGTCTTCGATTTTTGACGAGGGTTCGTCTGCCGGCGCGGACGGCGTAAGCCGCTAAACAGGTTTCCAATTTACATCATATTGCCTGATCTCCGACATAAGTACACGAATAGAGCTTCATTATAATTTCTTCATTTGCTATAATTAGCGCTAGATTATGCAATCCCAAGATTCGATACGTTAATATATTATATTATTATCAGAGTATTTTATTAATGATTATAATGATTATTGGCATTGGTTGAGACTTAACAGATTTTTAATAACTTCCTAAGCAGCACTGAAATAAAAGACATAAACTTTGTTTTGCTAGTGCTGCAATACCAAGGTACAAACTTATCCAAAGCTCGTAGCTTCTATACATATAATATAATTTGAATGGTGCTAAACTATTGCACAATTCGCGCTGCATTACCACCAACCTCAGGTAGACTCGCTCCCTGTCAGCCTGGGGGCATCCCCTAAATTGAAATTGATCCAACTTGACATCGTTATAACTAAATGTTATCCAAATGTGGCGTGAAGTAATAATCCTCTTATGCTGCCAGTCGAGTTGACTTTTTGGCATATCATCATCATAGTGACAAAATAAAATCAATGTGACAAATATGTTTTTGATTAATGAATGTGTTTTCGATACCCACTCAAATGGGCCGCTAAAAGTGGATAAATGCAAATTATGAAAGCATTTGTCACATCCACATTTGTTGTCTGTTGAGCAAAGCTCAGCTGTGACTAACAATAGATGTGAGGTGAATTGCCTTTCTATGCGATTCGCAAAACATGCATAAATTTGTATATGAGTATATTGTTATATAGCTTACTCTCTTCATTCATCACTATAGCCTTTCTATGTGAATCTCATAAACTCAATGTGTCTTTCAATATACATATGTAAGCCTTGAGCATTATATTTAAGTCCCAATCGTATACATGTGTAAGCCTTTAAAATAGTTCAACTACAACTAGACAAAGAAGCTCCTCTCTGTGATTATCTTATTGGTAGTTTCATCTAGCTGGAAGTATCATTTAGTTCACCTATGTCTGTCATATCTTAATGGGATATTCCTATTCGCTTTTTATGATACTTTCACTCATTCTCCCTCTCTGTCTTTCTCTCTATCTTTATCTATTCTGTTTCTACTATCTGTCTTATATACTCATAGCACTCATAACTTGCTGTCATATTTATAGGGTACCTTCAAGTCGCCCATTTTTCCTTCTGATTTCCTTGCTAAAAATAAATTGATATAGCTGCAATCAGCAGTGGCATGAAATGTAGAGTGGTTCATATAAAATCTTAAAGCTGCGCGAAAAGAAAAGAAAAGCAAAGCTTATTAAAGTTACTTAATGTCCATAAAGGTATCTACTCTCTCTCGCTCTCTCTCTCTCTCCCGTTCATTCTCCCTGTGTCTATGATAGCTATGACTATACATAAATTAAGGCGGTCCATTTGTGGATTGTGCGAAGACGCCTTTCACCTCATGCCAAAAATATTAATGGGTCTTATTTAAGTCAGAGCTTCCGACCCAGAAACCAGCTTGTTTACCTATTAGCTATGCATGTGCATTATTTGCTACACACACATACATATGTACATGTGAGGTATATATGGCTGGAAACTGTTTGACTCCAGGTGTCAAAATGCTTTTTGTTGCTCGTCTTTCAATTTTCTGCAATTTTCTATTAAGCCGTGTCTGGGGGCACATCTCGATCGGCTCGGATCTGTGCTACATGCTGTGCAGCTAATGATCGAGTTAGGCGTCTGGCCAATTGCTGTTCATGTTAATGATAGATCCGATCATCATTGCCGTGCATAATTGCCGACGTCAAATCGGGTACGCGACCCTGTGATATTTAGTGCGTGGCTCGGGGACTCCCGCTGCCAGCCACACGAGGAATAATGATGTTTAAATGTTTTGGCTTTTGTTTTTATATTTTTCAACACAGTTGAAGATGGTTTGTACAGTTTATAAACTATTTAACACGAAAAAAAAAAAGACTATGTATTGGTAAAAAAAAAACAAACGAAAATAAAACAACGGGCACATGGTATGTGTGCCATCTTAAAGATATAGTAACAACATCTACAAGGCTAATGCCGTTGCTCAACTCGGACAACAGAAACAAGCGAGTCGAGTGCCTGGCCAATCACATGGTTGCGTGTATGTGTGTGCGTATATGTGTGTGTGTGTGCGTGTGTGTGGGCATGGGACTATGCTGCTTTAGCTAATGGCCTAGTTGAGCTTAATCCCAGCCATTGCCACCGCCGGCAGACCAGCCAGCACCGCCAATAGCGCCGCCGCCATAGCCGCCCTCGCCCACCACCGTCACCACTTTCACATCCTCGACCTGGTGGCCATGATCGGCGACAAAGTGTCCGGCGTGGCCGTGCTCGATGGCGCCACCAGCTTCGTGGATCACCTTGACGATGTTCACATCACCGCCGTGACCGTGACCGTGACCGTGACTGAAGCCGCCGTGCGCATAGCCACCTTCCTGAATGAGCTTGATGATCTTGACTTCACCGCCGGCACCATGCTCGAAGCCACCGCCATGAGCATGTCCATGCGCCTCCTCGTGGATCACCTTGACAATCTTGACCTCGCCGCCATGAACATGTCCATGTCCATGTCCATGATCTTCCTCATGGATGACCTTAACAATGGTGGGTGCACCACCACCATAGCCACCGCCGAAGCCACCGCCATATCCACCTCCGTAGCCACCGCCGTAGCCACCGCCGTAGCCGCCGCCGATAAAGCCGGCTTGGGTCAGGCTCACGCACAGGAACAGGCAGACGAACACCTGGGAGTCGAAAATTGAAGATGAAATGCTTTCGCCTTGGAGTTGCGGGTGTTTGTTACCTTCATTTTGTTGTCGGTTCTGCTTGGGTTCAGCTTTAGCTCTTGTTGGACGAAGTTAAGCCTGGAAGCTTAATCAGTTACTAATATTGATGCCATGCTCGTTGGCTGCTATTTATACGGCCATCCAGAGCTAAACAAACGAACGAAATTGTTAATTGATATCCAAAGTGAAATGATAGCAACAACAACAACAACAAGCAGCTGCGCTGCATTAAGCCCAGAAACAAGTTCACGACCCAAAATAGACGAATCTATAAATTATTAATGTATCTTTTAATGGCTAACAGCCAGATATTATAATCTTGGCTACTTGTAAAACGAAATTTGTAACATCCATGAGCTGCATATATACAGGCATATATAAATATGCATACGCATTAATGGGCATATCTAATGTCTATATATGGTTGATATTGGAGCAACTGCTGCTTCATCAGCAACTAAGCCAACTTAGTTTCTGTCTTGGCCTGACGTTGCAGTTGGATCGATCATAAAGCACACCCACCTAATGAGAGAGGCCAGTTTCAATACATTTGATCAGTTGTGTCTGTTAAGCATATCTGATTGACTTCATTTTTATTTGGGATACATCGGATACAAACACACCCCTTTATTTGTATAGCTACGAGGTATATGCACATACAAACTATTGACAGGTGTTTACTGGTTGACTGGAGGGAGATAGAGGGACACCGAGGGAGAGAGATAGAGAGAGAGAGAGAGAGAGAGAGAGAGAGAGAGAGAGAGAG